GGTACACTTTTAGTCATCTTCTGTGGCCCCCCAAGCCCACCCCATTTACCATCTAGTGTCCACGATGCTCAGTGCCTAGGTCCCTGCAGCAAGGATCCATGCAATCAGGCAATGTGGGGGACCCACAGGTTGGACCAATGGAATTGAGAAAGTACAGATTAAATAACTATTGGCTCTGGAATCCGAAGTGTGGGTTTGAACCCCAGCTCTACCATTCACCAGCTATTTTACAGCAAACACATTATTTGACCTCTCTAGGCCTTAGTTTCTTGTTTTGTAAAATGGGGACAATAATAGCCCCACCTCACAGGGCAGTTGTGAGGCTCGATTGGCTAATAATGCATGTAGAGCATTTGTGTCCTTAAGGCATATCCTACATGATTATATTATTGTGGGGCAGGGACCGGAATCCATGACCCAGGAGGAAAAGTTGAATGAATAGGGAGTTTTTGTCCAGGGAATAACTACCATTGGGAAGACCTGACATTTTCCAACATATTGATGGTTATTACTTGGGGAGAGAAATTTCTGTTTGTGTAATTCGAAGTGGTAGGACTGGGGGAAGTCACAAAAATGAAAGGGAAATGGACTTTCCCTAAATGAAAGGAATGACTTAAAAGAGACCCTGAAAGATACAATGTGCTGCCCCAGGCAGGAGTGAGTTCCCCGTCAGTGGACGTGCTCACGCTCAGGTGGCTGGACGATGAAGAGCAGATTCAGTCCTGTCTGGGCTGGGAGGTAGAATTGCCTATCTCTATAGGTTCCCTTCCTTCCTGAGTCTGACTCATGACCCCAAGTTCATTTAAAGAGAGCAAGAGTCCACTAAGAAAGATGAAAGGATGTCATCTTCACGAAGAGGTTCCTAGTTTGACTCTTAATTCTTGGCTTTGAGCCCAGGAAACCACCCAGTCACCATTGATTAGCTATCTCAGCGAAAAAATCTATTTCCTGCAACAAACATCCACTGGTTCCATGTTTGCCTCTCGAACCACAGATGTCAAAGCTGGTTTCTCCTTCATACCACAGTGTGTCAAATACTTAAAGATGGTGGTCGGTAACTCCATACCCCCACCCCTCCTACCTGCCACCAGGTCTTTTCTTTTTAGAGGTAGAATTGCTTGTTCCCAGGGCCTATGAAGGAAGCCCTAGCTTCGACTCCAGCTGGAATCTTTAGTATTAAGCTAGATTGCATTTATGGTGCATGTTTTAATAGCCATAGCCTCATTGATTTGATATGAACCTACCTTGGGCCGAGTTTCTCTTTGTACCAACTAAAACAAAAGTTTGCTAAGCATATTCATTGTTTTTAAGATGGCAGAACATTTAAGCAGCTTTAAGAAGTAACTGTGTTCATATACTCTTAAGCTCTTTAGAAAAACTACTAGGTCAGTTACAAATCCGTCCTACCTCTTCATTTTTTTTTTTAAAGGTTTTATTATTTATTTGAGAGAGAGAGAGTGAAAAACAGCATGAGAGGGTCAGAGGGAGAAGCAAGCTCCCTGCTGAGCCAGGAGCCCGATGCGGGACTCGATCCCAGGACTCCGGGATCATGACCTGAGCCAAAGGCAGTTGCTTAACCAACTGAGCCACCCAGGCGCCCCTGTCTTACCTCTTCAATAGGATAGGTGACTGAAGGACCACCTCCAGGTAACTTTGTTAGTCACTTCTAGTTTGCTATTTGAACTTAAATAGAACTCCTTCCTTCAGTGTATTTTCTAAGAGCATTCACTCCCAGGAACACCGGGTGGGTGAAGGTGGGAGGGGTGTAAGGGGGGTGTGTGTGTATGATGGGCACTGCGGCTGGGGAAGGTAATGGCTCTCTTGGGTTTGGCAGTAGGATCCAGGGGACAGCAACTTGAATGCCTATTTACCAGGCCAGGTACATAAATGTGTGCAGTGGGCTGGTAGTGTGGAAGGCATTGGGGCTTGGAGGTGTCTGTGTTACTTTGGAGAGCCCATATCTTCCCAAACTGTATATTCTTGCAAAAGAGGCTGGATTTTATTGGTGGATACCATTTTATGATGCTTTTCTTACATGCTGACTTACAGAAATGCATAGGAGAGGTGTGGCTGGGTGGACTCATTAGAGATATGGGGGTGTGCTAACAAATATGTAACAAAAATGTGGAGGGAGATTGGCCCATTTAAAGGAATACAGAGCACTTCGGTTAAGGGAAAAGAATGATAGATTCACCCCCAAAATATGTGACGAGATCCCTTATGGAAAGCATTTGTCTAAAGATACAGAGTAAGGTACCCAAAGCTTAGGTTATTTTGTCCGGGAGATCGTTCAGGTTGAAAATGGGTCATGAGAGGTCCACACTGAAGGCTAAAACGAGCTGCAGACCGTGCCTGGCAGAGGACCCGTATAGGAGGAGTAACAGAATGCGCTCAGGTAGAGTAAGCAAGGACAGCTCTCAGCACTCAGCTTTGGCTGAGACGGGGAAGCAGCACCACGTTGCTGAAATGGATCAGCTGCAAGACTGGAATCTGTTCAAGTTATCATTCTATGTTTAACTAGGGACAAGGGGCTTACGCTCACTGCGCCTATTTCCTTTGCCCTTGGACTATCAATGTTATCCCCATCTGAGGAGTTGGTAACCCAACCCAACCCCATCTGTTTATCATAGGCAGCAGATATGAAGCATAACCAAATGGCATATATGAAGACCTTTCATCCACGTAGGCTCATGGCACCTTCTCCCAGGGACTCCCAACCCACCTCCGAGCCCTTCAGAAATAATGGACAAGCCCTTCTAACCAGCTAAGAATCATGGTCTAGACAGACCCTTTTAGCTTGCTAATGAGATTTATCTTGTGGCATCCAGTCTTACCCTGTCTTGTAACTCTAGAATTTGTAGAATTCTTGAACCAGATAAAAGGAAGGAACTCTGTCAGTTCTCAATTAGCTGCACCAGTGGAGAGGAACACTGATGTGGTAGATTTTAAAAATTTGGTTCCATTTGGCTTTGGAATGCATTATGATTTTTTCAGTAGATTAACTTTTCTAATTATATTTTGCACAGCCTAATATTAACAAGCATTTGTATTCCCTGAGCACACAACATCTAACTCAGGTTTGGGTGATGCAGTAGAGGCAGTCCAAAAATGTGCTGGTCTCAGGGAATGAGAGTGTCGTTATGGAAAATCCACACATGGATAATGAAGAGGCAACTAATTAGAAAGTGCTCTGCAAATATTAAATTATAAGCAGAGAAGCCAAATTAGGAATTCTCTAAGGACATGTGAACAGAGTAAAAAAGGTTATTAACATTCTGAGAGGGACAGAAACTTTGAAGAATCATCTTTTAGCGTTAATGGAACCTCATGAAAAAATTGGTTGCAAGGAGGGTCAATGAGTTTACTGGGTGGTCTTTAAAATAAGAAAACCTCAAGCAATAATACCAAAGCATTTTAAAAGAGCGTTTAAAATGAATTTTATTGTTTGAATTTTACAAGTAGTCTTTAAAGGCTTCAAACAAGAATTCTGTTGCAAAACTCTAATAAATAGCTTGCCCCAAGTCCCCAAACAAATGAAAGAAAGACAAAATAAAAACTAAACTCAGAAGGATAAGCAAGACTTCAGAATGCTTGGATGTTAGCGATATTTCTCATTTACAAAGAGATAGCAGGCAACGTAACAATCTCCTTCATACAAGTCCAAGAGAGAAAGAGACAGACAATTGAGATCTTTACAAAGCACTCCGAAATCTTCCTATTTCCATGGTGGAAATGTCACCCGAAAAAAAAATTCCATGGAAAAATCACAATCATGAATGAAACCGTAAAAGTCTGGTGGAGGGGGTGGGAGAAGAGAGAAAATCCATCCTGTTTCTTTCAGGGATGGAGGGAGGAGCTGAGATTACTTGGGGCAGGGAGCTTCCGAGCAGATGACATCGCAGAACGTTCCCTACATCAGAGTTGCCACTGAAGGGACACAGGCGTCAGCTTCGTGACATTTTATGAAGGCAAGAAACAAGGCCACTAGGGGCTCCCCGGGTCCCTTAACACTGGTGGGCCCAGTGTGTCCGTCTGCAGGACTGGGGGCCTTGGGACGATGGCCAGAGGCCCAGAGCAGCTGCATCACTAGACAGGAAAAATAGCACATCGATCATTTCTGCAGCAGAATCCTCTGGCTGGCCACAAAAGGATTCAGAAAATGCCGTGCTGAAATTGCACACTGGGACATGCAGGTTTCAAAAGCCCATTCTATGATCACAGTCGTTGCTCCTAACAAGCAAGTATTAAACAATTTAACATTCACTTTCCCTAGTTATAAATACTGGTCAAGTCTTGCTTTGGAGAGGATTAATTAATATGGCCATTTTGAGTAAGCTAAAAATACAATTTTGCCACATTTTCATCTTCACACATCTCAAACAAAAGCTATACTTTCGACCAAAATACATACAAGTAAGATTTTACTCTGGAGGAATTCTGAAACCAATTAATGTTTGGAGCCAGGAAGCTATAGAGAGGCTGATTCCAATTTGGTGGGACTCTCTTAAACCAGACAGAAAGAGTTCTAGCTCTGAGGAGCGCACCTGGGACCATCTCCCGGGGAGAGGAAGCAGGGGGTGCCGGTGGTAGAGTGACGTCACAATGCAGGACAGGAAAGGGGCATCGCCCGAAGCCCTGGCTCTGTCTCCGGGGCACTTGACTTGCGGGTAACCCCGACCCCGCTATCCTCGGGAAGGTAGGGATGCTAGCTCATGCACATGTCATTCAAGGGAGGTAGGCATTTTCTCCAGGCGCCTCCCTCCCCAGGCATTTTAGGAACTAAGGTAAGGAAAGCCCCTCCCCAAATAAACCATTTGCAAAAACTTTATTTTCCTAGGAGCAATGACATGGGTCAGGATAAGGAGGGAAAGCTTGGGTTACCTGAAATTGATAAGAGCTCATGGAAATAGAGGCATATGGGCCAGGGCGGCCTAGGCCCACTTTCTTTTTTAAATACGTAACAGATAGAGATATTGTGCAAAAAAATAAAGACATTCACATTTTAGCAGTTAAACTTTTATTTTACTTTTTAAAATTTTTATTTACTTTTTTGTTTTTCTTTTCTACAAAAGGCAGATAATGATTGTTGATCTGCAATAATTGTGTTGTGCATTCCCCGAGAGGGGCTGGAGTGGGAAGTGAGGGCGGGTCGGCTGAGAAGGCTTTCCGGGGTCATGGCCGAAGGAGCGCCAAACCGCAGCGGAGAGCTCCCCACCCCCTCCCGGGGCTCCCCCCCCACCGGCTGGCCCTAGCTCATGTCTATGGTATTGAAGACCCATTCCGTGAACTTCTTCAGCTTGTCCGAGGCATTCTGGGACTCCTCCTGCAGCCTCAGGTTGTCCTCCCGGAGGTGCTGGACTTCCGCCTGCAGGTGGGCTTTGTCTTCCTTTTCCTGGGAGGCAGGGCAGAGGAGGAAAGGGCTGGGACCCAGCAGCTGGAGGGGTGGCTAGGGAGCCGGTGTGCCCTTCACCCATTTCTGTTCTTCATCCTAAACCTCTGTATCTGTGACCTGACACTGGGCATTCGGATACTCAGGCCAGAGGCTCAGTAAGGTTTATTTTGGAACGCAAAGACATTAACGTGTACTTTAATGTCTTCAATAAGGGCTGTCTTAACTTTCAGACTGTTGTTTGGGTGGCTGCCGTCTTAATATAGTCAAAGCCACTAAGAAACAAAACAACATTCCGTTCTCCTGCTGTGAAAGCCCGAATGACAGTGAAGAGGGGTGGGTCTGGGCTACTGGCCCATTAGACAAGGGGCGGGGAGGCCCAGAGAGGGCTCCAAGGGGCTGGCTGGGGTTCAACAACTTTTCCGCACCCTCGACAAGGCTTGCTCACACGGTGTGTGTCGGTGGGAACTGAGCGCCAAGCAGCTCGTGGAGCATGTGTCCCGAGGAGACAGGGACAATGCCCCCAAGTTATTCCACTAACGGGGCATCTGTTCAAGGGCAGCTTGCACAGACCAGGCACTCTGCTTTGAGAATGTGTGTTTACCTTCTTCAGATCTTCCCGGAGCATCTTCAGCATCCCTTCCAGCTGGTCCACTTTAGAAGCCAGAGTGGGGGAGGAATCTTTACTGCTGGGGACAAGAAACAAAAGACGGTGTTGGCAGAAGCCTCCACGGCTGGGTCTGTTTGGCATTTTTAATGAGGCCGCTGTATTTGTAAAATGGTTTTTTAATGTCAAACTACTCAGTACGGTGACCCAATGTGCATGTTCACTCTAAAAAGGAAAATGGTAATCTTAGCAAGAGGTAACGCAAGGGTGAACGGCAGCCAATCAGTAGCTTCCTCTGTTAAAGATGCCGGCTCTTCACGACCAAAGAATACAGGACAGTAAGTGAAACTGGTCTCTTTGGCAGCAGGAGAGGTACTTTCTGGCAGGCCCAAGTGTCAAGCCGTGCAGTGTTTCCTATTCTCTTTAGTGGCTGTGAGCAGAAGAGAGCCCCTCCTCTGTGTGCAGAGGGGCTGAGGTCAGCCCTACCCTGGGGCGGCCAGCCGAGGGTAGGTCTCTGGTTCCCCAGAAAACAGTCTGTGGTTACTCATCCAGTTGCAGCTAAGTTATCATGCTCCCGTCTTGAAAGCTTGTCTAAATATCTTAAAATATTTTAAAAAATAAGACCTGTTTCAAAAGCTTGTCAGTCCAACCTTAATGTCTCTTTTGCTATTTAGGCCCCCAATGTTCTTTCGCCCAATTTATCTGTGCTAGTGGAGTACCAAAAAACCCCCAAAGAGCTAGCAGATGAGAAGGCCACCCAACTGGCTGGACAGAAGACCCTTGTCAATTGTTCTTTGTCCAACTCCTGTCTACCTGAATTCAAGCTGCAGAAAGTTTCCAAGTGAGCTCTAGCCAGACACACCACCTCAGAGTCACACAACCAAGAATCTAAAGCCTTCCACTGGGAGAACACGCAGGTGCCTCTTTCCAGAGGTCAAAAAGGGAAGACACAGATAGACTGAAGTTTTGGAATCCCGGAATAAAAGGCGGTCTTTACTTGAGCTGTGTTGATGTCTTCTGCTGATTCTAGATCTACGAGCCCAAAGGGCAAAACTCGCAGTGGCACGAGTAGCTCCAGGCTGTAAATAAATGAAATGATAAGGATCTCCAAACTTTTAAGATGGGATGCCCAATGAAAACTCCTAGAAGCCTATCTTGACTTCTGAATGTTTTCAAAGTGAATTACGTGCTTGTGTATGCTTTAATTTTTAAAAACACATTTAACTCCACTTGTTCACTGAACAAAGAAAAGTGCCAACCATCACCCTCATCTTAGGGTTCTGTAAGGATTTAAGAACTAGGTGCTGAATAATCCTTTCTGAGGAAAATGGACTTGTTCACTCAGACTTCTCCTGGTGGGAGGGCCCATTAATAAGAAGGTACATTTTGGGTTCACTGCACCCTTGACACTACGTTTTGTTTTTTGTTTTGTTTTGTTTTTTTAAAGCTCTCAACAGCCAAACTAACTGCCACTCTCCCTCCCAAGATGTCTCAGTGATCGGAGTGAGTGCAGCACCTGTCCCTTATACTCATGACAAACGACCCATCACCCTTCTGCTTTCTCTGTGAAGAGCACTTCCTTGCAGACTTGCTCGGCCAAGTCTTCAGGAACAAGTCCCACAGCCTATTTGAACAACCTAGGCTAACCTCACTTTTCCTATTGTTGTATGTTTCCTAGATACCTGGATTCTTAACCATCCTCAAAAGGTTTTAAAAGGAGAGATTTCAAATTGAGGAAATTATTCTGCATCAGGGGGTACATGTATACCACAGCGGCCTGTGGGATGCTTCCCTATATAGTAACAGGACGCATCTACCCAACATCCTCACCACGTGAAACGGGAAAATGGAAATCCGCCTCTGCACAGTTCAACAAAAGTCAAAATCCCTGCTCTCAACTCCCAAGGAAACCCTCTGGGCCTCAGTTATTGCTTGCCTTTCATTTTCTCTCGAATCTTACCTCTCCTGGTGACTTGGATCTAAGGTCGATCTGAAGCAGCATGTTGGGAGCTGCTAAGATGGGGGCACATTTACAAGTATGATCAACTGACAGCAAGGGGGAGAAACTCCAAAACCAGGCTCAAGGACATCAGACAAATGATTTTTCTCACCTTACATGATCAGCCCCGAGAGCATAAATGTATTATGGCTTTAAATAATAATGAATATTCATGATTATGACTAAGTCATCAAGAACAGTTTAATTATGTTTATAGGATTGAGTTACAAAGCATTCTAAAATGTGAAGAGTCTGGCACTGCGGTGATGAGCTTCAGTCAGCTAATCCATGTGGCCTCCATCTCTTCCCCACACCTGCTGTCATGAGTGGAGGGGACACATGGTGCAGAGTGCTGACCTCGCTACTGGGTGACCAACCTGCTGTAGGACTTCATCTGGGCCAGAGCCTGCTCCTCAAGCTGGTCACTGTTGGATGCAGCACTCAAGGGCCGGTGGCTTTCGTCACTAGCAGCAAAGAAGGAGGCTCTTTGGACTGGAAGGGAGAGGAGAAGCCATTCAGTATTTGGAACCACATCCCGGCCCAGTCTATCAAAGGTCAACAACCGGTCGAATCCAATCAACGTGTGAGGATGCATCAGGAACCTTATCTCCTGACCCGTGTAGGAAAAAATTACTGTTTCAGCTCTAAGAGGACAGTAGCAGTGTAAGATCCCTTTTGAAAACACTCGTTGTGAATCAACTGTACTCTTCTTTTTCTTACCCATCAAAGTAGCATTCTATGAAATGTTTCCCTGGAAACAGGCATTGTGCCAAATTTCCAGACCAAGGCTTTTTCCACTCAGTGATGATAGAAAATGCACTTGTAGAAGTATGTTTTCCACAAGATTCCTGGCTACCTTGGAGGGTTTTAGCCAAAGTCCAACCATATGTGTTTCAAAATATACCCAACTTAAAACTTGAGCCAAGAAAACAAAATCAAATTTTCAAAACCTCTCATTAGAAACACAAAACTACTACCATATCATATAAAGGAGCATCTGTACTGGGGAACTGCCACCAGCTAACATGGGAGTGCCTTGTGGCTACTCCACTGTCGGCTAATCAAGTTCTCCTGAAAATCGTAGCTTGGACAGAATAGCCACTTTCAATTCTTCAAACATGAGAGGAAAAAAAACAAACACAAAGAAACTAACTCAACCTTAAACCACTCGTTTGCTATCATTGTTTATTATAAAGAACATTTTAGCACCAAAGAATTTGGAATGATGACCATAGAGGGAAGTCAGTCTATTCACAAAAGGCATTCGACAACCTCACGTCCACATACACGGAGAGCATTACACCGAGTTTCTTCTATTCCAGCACACCGGCGTAAGGGCCTGCAGTGTCGCAAGCACACACACGGTGGCTTGGCACAGGAACGACGTGGACAGCAAACGTGCTACCAGAGTCGGGAGAGCAACACAAAGAAGATACCCAACATTTGTCAAGCCTGGGGGCAGGGCCAAGTGGGACAAGCATCCCTAACAGATCCAATGGTGCACTTCACAGTGAGGTCCTCATGACGGGGTCAAAGACTCTTTCTGGATAGGTGTTTTTTTCAATCAGATGACAGCTGGGATTCCCCCGCTCCCTGCCCTTCCCACCAGTGGGGAGGGGAGACATCCATGCTATGAATTCCTATGCAGAGGAAACATCAGGCCCCAGTGGATTAAATCATACAGCATGTGGCCCTACTGAGTGCTCGGTAATGGTTCGGCCAACTGGTTTCCAGCTGCACGGGCTCCACCCTGTGTGGTCAGTGTGTTCAAAGCAGCAGAGCGGATAGAGAATGACCAGAGCCTCACAGCCCCCAGCCCTGCCGGTCCCGCCCGTCCTGTTCAGATCGTCCGCAGACTCACCCTCATAGGCCTTGGCAGCATCCACCAAGTTGGACCAATCTAAATCCGCAGCAGTGTCGGGCAGGGGCATCAGGCCGGGGTCAGGCATGGGAGGCCTTCGGGTCTCCTGGACGTCCGTCAGGGAGCTGTCTGAGGCCGAGAACTCTCCTGCAAGAGAGGAGAGGTAAGATCCTTCTCATGCCCACAGGAGAACCGCTCAAGATCTTAGCCAAGCACTTGTTACCTGGAATCCATATCTAGTCCAGCAGACCATCAGGGGCTATTCTGAAGCTGACGTGAACTAGGAATTGGCTTCCTCCAGGCTTAACTCGCTTTTTAATCATCCTCCACTGTCTCACTTCTAGTAGTGTGAGACACAGAAAAGTTAGTTTTGCACGGAGACAACACGTCTGCTTCTCTGGGAGCTGTCTGTCTACAGGGGGGCCCAGGGCAGCTCTCATGTCTTGCTTTTTTTTCCCCCCCAGAGTCAAGGATCCAGGCTAGGACAACGAGGCCTATTTCAACAGACAGCTGGATTTTGAAGCCAGACCGGAGAAGCTTGTTGATCCCTGTTTTAGGGGATAATAAGGCTTATTCTCACTGGACTGGGCCCTGGGATCTGAGCCACCTGCTATGGACTCCCTGTCCCCAGGGGATGGCCCACTGATTTCCACAGCTGGATCTGTCTGCAGGCTGATGTGGGAACCAAAGCAGATTGTATGAGAGTGCTCGATTACCCGAATGGAGTTACTACAGGAAGGTGATTTTAGGATTGGTGTCGGCATTCTTCTCCTTCCCAAGGACAGAAGAAGCAACTCTTGGGATCACTTTTGGATCACAGCAGTCCAAGAGCCTGAGCTTCTTCTAAGGTGACAATTTTAAAAACACAAACATGAAGCCATCATAACGACGAGCCTTTGCTCGGCCTGGGGCAGAGAGGAGTGGGCGCAGGGGGCCGCTCTGCCGTCGGAGGGCATGCTGCTACCGCTCAAGTTCACGCAGGCAGAGAACAGAGTGGGAGGGCTGCTGGGCTCATGACACGTAGATGCTCTCAACAGGGCAGAAGCTGCGGCAGGGACAAGGGCAGAGTGTGTGACTCCAGGAGAACGGCCACCCTCAGGATGGGACTATAACACTAAAAATCCATGCCACCACAAGCTCAAATCTCAGTTAAAATCACTGAGTGACTCCAGAAACACCTGTTTACAAGGAGTTAAAAAGTTTCCCCAAGGATGATAGCCTGGGAAACCAGAGTATATTTAGTGCTTATTTTCCCTTTCAAATGACATAAAGAACTGCTCTGAAGTACAGCTGCTAGTTATTAATGTGCTTAAATTAGCAAAATGATGAGTAAATGGAAATCAACAAATACTGCCAGATATTAAATGCTCTGATCTATTTAAACATGCTCCCAAGGGTAAGTAGGTGGAACAGACAATTCTGTGTGTCACTCACAACCCTCCTGCCCTTTTATCTCTGGCACCCAAATTTCCATATGTACAAAAGAAGTCGCTCCTCCCCATTGCCCAATGACAGTCGACAAAACAAGGCCAGGGCTGAGGGATCAGCCCAATAAGGGTTGCTCTGTTTAGGACATGGGGTCACCGTGCTGCCTGACTTCCAGGAAAGCAAGAAGAGGGGATGGGGGGGGTCACAGAGGGCAGCCCATTCCCTCCCTTCTGCAGCTGGACAGTGACCAGGTTGCTCTCTCAGAATGGAAACCTCTAGAAGACAGGGTCTACTCTGACGGGACACATGCAGACATGCCTTTACAGAGGGTTTATTGCTGCAGGAGCCATGGAACTCAGGGGAGAGTGGCCCCAGTGTGGAGACACAAGGGGAGAAAAGATTAGGGCCTATTTGGTCACTACCAGGAAGTTTTCTTCTAGAGTCTAGATGGTAAAAAGTGGTCATTTCACATGTTCACTCTGGAGGGTGCCCTCGTGGAGAAAAGAGAAGCCAGAGTCCAGCTGTAGTCAGATGAGGGAGAGGGGGCAGTGAGAAGCTGGCATGCTCCCGAGTGATGCCTGCCATCGGGTAGAAGGGGAGCAGTGAGCAGGACAGAGGTGGTGGACAGACATGCACAAGAGTGGGTTGAGAGCTCATGTGTGATGCAGGGAGAAAGCAAATGAGGCAAGCAGGGGAGTCAAAGAAAATACTGTTCCAGAGAAGCAGCAGAAAGGATATGAACCATGGGTATGAATGGAGGCAGAATGCCCGGAAGGAGAAGGGCAGATGGGAGACAAGGTTATAGCATATGTCTAATGAACAAGCAGGACCCCAGGTTCCATAGCAGGTGTCTGCTGGGCTGGGTCACAGCAGGGCAGGGTGGGTGTAGAACCCTGGAATGGAGGTGGACAGAGAGAGGAGAAAGGAAAAGAACGAATGTAAACCCATAGTCCCAGAATATGGTCTTTCATAAAACTGGGACCTAGTTTGGTCACAGAGCAAACAAGGCATTTATGAACCAAAGGCAAGATGGAGGTGCCACTGGCATCAATACGCTTTTCCCTACACTAATACTTGCTTGTTCACTAAATGAATGAATGAGTCAACAAACAACTGGCTGACACCATAGGCAATACCCTCACGGTCTAGGAAAGACAGAACAATGGCAAGTCCGGGTTCTTATAGTGGCTGGAAGGAGCCAATGGATACAATTCTCCAAAAAATAATTTAATGTTAGCCAAATGTGCCCAATCACAGTAGCAGATAGGATGTTTGGTTAAAATATAATCTCCAAACTACACCTTTGTACTGAAATTCAGCAGGTCTTGGGTAAGGTCTGGATATTGTATTTTTAGCAAGCATGCCAGGAGAGGGTTGTTATATGCACCTGGTGCCCCAGTATTTATGGTTGCCACCCAAGGGCTGCCCCTTGACCATATGGCTCTGGCGGCCGGGGGGGGCCTCCTCCATTCCTGGGTCCCATGGGACTTTAAAAATTGGAGGGACAATTTTTTTTTTTTTTTAAGGTTTTATTTATTTGACAGAGACACAGAGAGAGAGGGAACACAAGCAAGGGGAGCGGGAGAGGGAGAAGCAGGCTCTCCACTGAGCAGGGAGCCCAATGCGGGGCTCGATCCCAGGACCCTGGGATCATGACCTGAGCCGAAGGCAGACGCTTAATGACTGAGCTGCCCAGGCGCCCCTGGAGGGATAATTCTTGACTACCACATGTAGGGCACTGAACAGAATGCAGACAAAAACAAACTCCAGACTTCTGTGAAAGAGGCTTATTTGCTTATTCCAGAGCTTTGGCCTAGGGCAGGCTTCAGGTTTGGCACACAAGTAGGGGTCCATGGTGGTGCTCACAGGGCACGGAGGCCAGTGCATGCTATCTTTGTGCTTGCCCTCTGCCTTCCTCTGGCTCATTGTTATCTCTCAGAAAGGAACTTAGACACTCACTTATTAGTACTCTGGTTTTTAGGACTGCCACCCAGGGGACATGTTGAGATCGCCTGGCTCTGGTGGCCAGTGGGGCTTACAATTGTGGGCCCATAGGACTGTATATATTTGCATACTTTAAGAGCTGCCGCCAGAGGGTCTGGCTTACAATCAGCCTAAATCTAGGCGCTGACTGAGATCCTCCCTTTTGGGACACTGGTCTTGGCACAAGCCCAACTACTGGGATCTATTAAAAATGAAATAGGCTGTTTGGACCATCACAAAGGTCTGAGAGACAAGGAAGAGCTAGGGCAGGGTTGAATGATAAGGTTCATCTCCAAAACAAGGCTACTCCTTTAAGACTGCGAGAGGTGACTCTCTTATCTAACACACAGACCAACACAAGGAGTCTAGAAAAAAGAGGAAATAGAGGAATATGTAATGAACAAAGAACAAGATAAAACCACAGAAAAAATCCTTAGTGGAAAGCAGATAAGTAATCTGCCTGACAGAGTTCAAGATAATGGACACAAAGATGCTCGCTGAACTTGGGAGACGAATGAACATAGTGAGAACTTCAACAAAAAGAAAATATAAGGAAATGTCAAACAGAAGTCACAGAGCCAAAGAATACAATCACTGAACTGAAAAATATACTAGAGGAGTTCAACAGCAGATTAGATGAAGCAGAAGAAAGGATCCGTGAATTCAAAGACAAGGCAATGGAACTCATCCAATCAGAACAGCAAAAAGAAAAAAAGAATGAAAAGGAGTGAAAATAGCTTAAGGGACCTATAGGACAATATCAAGCAGACCAACATTTACATTATTTATAGGGGTCCCAGAAGAAGAGAGAGAAAACTTCCCTAACCTAAGGAAGGAAACACACATGCAGATTCAGGAAGACCAGAGTTCCATATACAATGAATGTAAAAAGACCCACACCGAGACGCATTACAATTAGTCTCCAAAGTTGGACAAGAAGAACATCTTAAAAGCAGCAAGAGAACAACAACTTGGTACGTACAAATGAATCCCCAGTAAGACTTTTCAACAGGAACTTTCCAGACCAGAAGGGAGTGGCTAAAAGAAAAAAAAACTGCGAACTAAGAATCCTCTACCCAACAAAGCTGTCCTCCAGAACCGAAGGTGAGATAAAGAGTTTTCCAGACAAACAAAGCTGAAGGAGGGGCGCCTGGGCGGCTCAGTCAGTTGAGCATCCGACTCTTGATTTCAGCTCAGGTCATGATCTCGGGGTCCTGGGATTGAGCCTTGTGTTGGGCTCCCCATTCAGTGGGGAGTCTGCTTGTCTCCCTCTCTCTGTCTCTCCCCCTGCTTATGCTCTCTCTCTAAAATAAATGAATCTTTTAAAACAAAATCTAAAGGAGTTCAACACAACTAGACTGGCCTTACCGGAAATGTTAAAGGGACTTCTTTAAACTGAAAAGAAGGACTGCTAATTAGTAAAAAGAAAACATAAAAATATCAACCTTACTGGAAAAGGTAAGCACATAGTGCAGGCAGGAGTAAATTAATTACAAGGCTAGTAAGAAGGTTAAAAGACAAAAATAATAAAAATAATTGTCTTACAGTTGGCCCTTGAGCAACACAGGTTTGAACTGCATGGGTCCACTTCTATGTGCATTTTTTCCTATAAATATTTCGGAAACATTTTTGAAGATTTGCAACAATTTCAGAAACTTGCAGACAAACTACACAGCTTAGAAATTAAAAAAAGATGTCATGAATGCCAAAAATATATACAAATGTATTATAAAAAG